TCACGTTAGTTACAGAAGGTGGAGACTGTGGACCTGCTGATAATTATTTATCTACTATTGTGTACTTGCCTTCTCTGGCATTACAACGTCCACTAGGACATGTCAGGATTAATGTGTGTATGAAATTGTTACGCCTCTACGTGGAGTTTTCAAGGTGAGGGTTTGCTCGGGGCCAGATGTCTGATACTGCTCTGAGCCAGCTGATGTTTGTGCTTCTCTGTTGTTTCTCCTTTAATAAATACCAGAAGACAACCGTTTGTTTTAATCCAGTTATTTCTTCAATTCTGCACCAGGAAATATACGATTTCCTTGACAAACGTTCTCAGAATCAGATCATTTCTCCATCACGTCTTCAGGCTAAATCAACACTTTGACAATTACCGGTACACAGGAGCTGCTGTTTTTTGGTTTTAGCGGACTGTTGCTGTGTGTTCGTACAGAATCAGAAGGTAAGAGGCTCGGGAGCAGTGGATCGTTTTTATGTGAGATTACAACTCCTTCAAACTCAGGCAATAAAAAAAGTGATTAATTTCATAAAATACATATACGTACGTAAAACTTTGAATAACAGCCCGCGCTTTTATTTGCTAAAATCCCTGAATTGTGACCCGGCCTGTATTTGGGACAGGCCTTTAATTCCTTTGCACAAAACTGAAATAGGCTGCTGTGAAACAGTTTATTTATTTCAAACAGAATAACTTGTATAAAAATTATCCAATAATATCTATCTAAGAAGATCTAGAGACGGCAGCAACGTAACGAAAACAACACGGCGCAGGATGAGAGAAGTTAGCAGACAGAGAGCGACCCTTACAGACTAAAGCAAGATAAATAATCAAGAAACGGACACATTGGGGCTTAACGAGCGCTTCAAAGACCAGGCTTTTAATGGAGACCTGCGTTTATTTTTAAAAATGTTCCCACACCAGGGGTCTCATTTATAAAACTGTGCCTACAATCCAACGCCCACAGCTGCCTGTAAACGCTCAGTGAAGCTCATTAATATTAATCTGTCCTGACTGCAGGAAGAAAAGGAGGCAAATTCTGACAAAATTAAATTTAACTCAGTGACTCTGACGTTCCTTTTGGTGAAGCTGAAGCTGTTTGGTGGGTAAAAAATGCACTTTCACGCAACGCTTGTGCCCCGGAGGAAAGGGGGCCCTGGAGCTCCGCCCCTTTATAACAGATCTGCATGAAGGGGCCTCCCTCTGAGCAGTGACGTCGCTGGCTGGAGGGGGCCACACAGACGGGACGACCCAGGTACTGATCTGGATCCCCCCGTTTGAAAACAAACGCATTCCACTTGTGTTTGAACATTTATTTATTTACACAGTCGGCTCGCTGAACGAGGCTGCTGACGTGTTGGAAATGACATAAAATAGCGTATGAAATTAATTGTCCTTTTGTACTTTATATATAGCTTTGGCAATATTGTTGCTATACATTCATGCCAATAAAGCTGATTTGAATTTTAGTGTTTTATTTCCATAACATGTTTTTACAGGCAGCGCGTCACATCCACATGCTGGCGCTCAGCGTTTGGCTCCATAAGGCGACCAACATGTGAGAACAGTATATGAAACTCTCGTATTTGGTCGACTAACTCACTGGAAACGCATCAGTTTAAATGTAATTTGTCTCCTGTTCACCTTATTTGTGAGAATAAATAAAGTATTAATTAATCTGATTCCTGATTAAACATATTTGAGGCTCTTGTGCAGAAACAGAATCTGTTTGTGTTTATGATCCTGAATCTGGATCTTTTTGCTGCAAATGATCTTAAATTGTTTGTTTCTTTGGCCACTTCAGGGAAAATCAGTCAAACGGCTGTTTGTTTATTCAGAAAGGCTTTAAGCCTGGAATACTCAGAGGGAATATCTGGATTTATTTCACACAGCAGTCGGCCTCTTCATTTCAAACAGGTTCATCCTTCTGCCGCGTGAGGCGCCGTTTCTCTTTTCTCCTCTTTGTGTGCGTACGCCTGGGTCACAGTTTACTGACAGGACGAGCATTAGATCACAACCTTTACTTGAGAAGTTTTAATATGTTTTAAGGTTTTTGTATGTTTTAGGAAACACTTTCTATATTGGGCTTTAATATTAAGGTTTAAGACACACTCTGTATGATGGTTTTTGTCTTTCTCTCTCTAAGATCTTTTCTCCTTGTGAACTTCTTATAATAAGCTCACATTCCTGAGTGTCTTTTGAAGTAGATAAGAGTCCCGGTGCAGGAGGGTGCAGTAGGTAGTGTCAGCACGAGCGTAGGCTGTTTCGGTCTCGGCATGAGTGTAAGAAAGTGTCAGCGAAAGAGCAAACATTGCAGAGTTTGAGCCAGTTGCAGCTGGAAAGTCCTGGAAACTGCACTGTGGGTAACCTCCTAATTGTATAAAGTGTACGGGGGCCCCACCCAGACAGCCACCCCTAAGGGAGCGGCCATATTGAATGAAGTGTATACCATGCAGAAGTCCCGCCTACAACAGGGGACTATAAAATACGATGTTTGAGAGCCAGAAAGTTTTTTTGGACTCTGCCTATTTTTACAAAGACGTTTAATAAATGGTGGAGACAAGTTTTGGGTTTTCAACTGGCCTAGCCCTGAACTTTATCTTCATCACCTTCTTTGGCAGTTTCGCTTCATTAAAGCCCCCCTCCAGTGTATTTTGACATTTCTATGATATTCCATATTTTTCAGAGTCATTTCCTCACAGTGTTGATTACCCATATAGTTCGCCAAATATTTTTTGACAAATAGCTTTTGTGCTCAAAGTTGCTTAGTTGTTAAAACGGGGTTTTAACGTATGACTATAGTAATTCCATAAGCCACACGTCATTCTCCAAGCTTGCCTCGTTAAAAAACTGCCACGCCCTCACACCTCTTTAAGTCCGAACATCAAACCGATAAACATCGTTGCGAGCTAGCTAACCAATTTATCATGTAATTTACTTAGAACTTACAGCAGGTATGTCTCTGTGTCTGATGGTCGGTTTGTCTTTCTAGTTTAGTGAGCTAAGTTAACTAAGTTGTAGTTAGCCAGGTGTAGTTAGCTAGCATAGTTATTGCAGAAAGTTGGCTAACAGAGGGTCTTCATTTATTTTTTCTCCTCTTGGCTTAGTGTGCTGTTCATTTTTATTATGGCATCTGTGCGTTCGGTGTTGGAGGACAGATGACAGAAAACGCGTCGCACTTTCACCTGCCACCGTCTTATACACAGTCTGCAACATGCGTTCTACTGCCGTTTTACCAATGCATCGGCGGTGTAGTTTTTTACATTTGACTAATATTTATCAAAACTTTAATATATTTCGTTGTACTTTTCTTCAAAGTACTGTTTCTAACAATAACTAAGTTTCTAACATTGTATGTAACAGTTTCTAACATTATGTCGTGGTATCTTGGTGAGGTCTCAACATGAAAAAAGGTTAAGGGATAATCTTTGTTTATGTTATATGTTTCTTAAAATAAGGGGAAAAAAGAATATCGGCTATCGGATTTTAAAATGGTACCGGACTTAAAAATCCCGTCTCGGTCGGGCTCTCCTCTTCAGACATCACAGAGACTGCATCCATGTTTTATACAGTCTCAGGTTTGACACCACAGATACGGTTTCTAACCAGCACCACAAGAAAAGTTTAGACATTTTGTAACAGAGAAAATAAAGGGGAAGTGAGTAAGTGACCACGTATACATTTATATAAGCCTCTGAGTTTCACAGTCAGTCGGTGTCTTTGTCAGCTCTGCTGCAGTTTGATCATTTGAACAAGAAGAAAGTTTAATCAGCTCATTAAAAACCTAAAGACGGCTAATAAAATAAAGCATATGTGGTTAAAGTGCCGTCAAATCAAAATGCTGACGATCATTTTCATTATTGCCGGTTATTTTCTCCATGACTTGTTTTGTCCACAAAATGTCAGAAAATAGTGAAAAACTCTTCACCAGAGTTCAAACTGACGTCTAATCATCTTTTGTTTCGTACAAACAAAAACCAACGTTATCCAGTTTCCTGTTGTGGAAGACCACAAAAAGCAGCACATTCAGAGTCTGAGAAGAGGAGACGGAGCTGAGAAGAGGTGAAACCGTCACTCTGTACTGCACTGCACTCTGTACCTTCCACCAACTGGAGGTCACCTGGTACAGAGATGGCCACGCCCTCTCAGAGTCTGGCCCCGCCCTCCAGCTTGGTCACCTAACCACAGAGGATTCTGGGAACTACACCTGTGGTTTGAAGACCAGCAGCAGCAGCAGCCTCTCCCTGCCGTACAGCCTGAAGGTGAAGGAAGAAGGTTTGTTTGCTCAGTTTTTATCTGGTGAAATGAAATTAATTATTTACAGTTACTGAACACAGAAACTCAGGACTCTCCTGGATCACACAGCTTCGTGTTCTGACCACCAGTCTGAATGATTTACATTTAGTTTGGTGGACAGGTCTAAATGCTACAATACCCATCAGCCTCAGCTGCTGTTGCTAAAGAGAGGCAGACAGTCAGAGCTGTAGTGAATTCAGTGAATGCCAAATGCTTCGTAGTTGAACTAAACGCATCACCATGTTTACTGAACTCGTCATTTAAGATGCAGATTGTGTTTTCAGTTTTCTCAACCCCCCACCACAAGCACAGGTAGCAGAATGAGGTGCTCACTGTCTACTCCGCTTCTTTGCTGTACGTTATACATCGGCCTCGTGAGTGTAGGTATCTGCATATCGGATCATCTCAATTAGTCCATCCATCACTACAAATAACCACACGTGCGTTCGATTGCCGTGTTTCTGGACTTTGTGTGTGAAGCAAATAATTGAGCTTTATCAAGTCCAGTGTTGAGAACAGCAAAGGTCCAGCAGCGTGGCACCGATACGACGATGAAACGCGCTGAGCACCAAAGCACACAGCAGGAAACAGGACGGCGGTCCGTTATTTATTCAGCAAAGCAAGAAATCCCAACATTAAAGCTCAGGTTACAACAACACAGTTATAAACCGCTCTCTGCCCAGACAACAAGCCTCTTACTTGATCATCGCTCTTGTCAGTCCGTTTGTGTAATCCAGCAGAGTCTCAGGCTCAGATCCTGATGGGCACGGCGCCGTCGCCGGGTTCAACAGCACAGCTGATCCTCGGAGCAGCTGAGGAAACAGCCAGATGTTAAAATGACAAACGTCAGAGCAGAATTATCGTCGTTAATTAATGTTAAATCTGATCACAAAAGTAAACGTGTGTGTTGTTGGTTTGTGAGTCTGATCTGGACCTAAGAGGCTCCACTCTGGAACACCAGCCAGAGGGTTTCTGTAGTTCAATAAGTTCAGCGCAACAAGAATAAAGTTTGTTATTAATATTATTTAAGACAGAGAAGTTCAGAGAGTGAGCCCCATGGTCTTTCCTGTGGCGCCCCCCTCAGGACAAACTCTGAATCACAGCTCCACTCCTGCTGAGCCTCCTCAGAGTGACCTCAGTGAGGCTGTGACTCTGCAGCAGGACTTCATGGTAACTCAGGCTGACCCGAGAGCTTTCTACAGTCTGACCGCTGCTCTTCATCAGCCGCTCGTCTTCCTCTCTTCATCTCATCTGAACTGTTTGAACTCTGCTTTCTGTTCCAGCCTCCAGACTCTGTGGAGCAGCTGTGACGTCCAGACGGCCGAGGCCAGACTGTCTGACACCCTCACACCATCATGTCTTTTTAAATGTTCAGTGTATTTATGTGAATGCAGCTGGTGTCTGAATATTATGTTCCACTGTTTAATTTCCACTATGTAATATTTACTATCTTAATGTTTTAATCTACAGGATAAATTCTAAGCCACTTTTGTTTAAACCACCCTATTGGCTACTCTTCCCATGTATGATCTGAGAAACACTATTTATAATGTTTTAATGTGTTTTAAGGTTTATTATGCTTTAAGAACTTTATATATGGGTTTTTAATATGTTTTGCGGTTTAAGCCACTCTCTCTGTATGATTCTGTTTTTCATTCTCTCTCTACCTTGACAGTGATTTTTTTCTCCTTGTCGGCCTCTTATAATAAAGTTAAAAGGTAAAGATGCGTTATTGTCAAATTAAGGCTGGACAATAAAAACAACAATAAATATCACAAGATTTGTTTTTCAATAACAATATCACAAATGTTAAATATTCAATTAATAAAAAAATTTATTCACTTGAATCATGAACAAATTAGGACTTTTTTTTTAAAGATTTTTATTTTGTTGAGGAAAAGGATTGAAAAAAAAAGCTTCTACTTTTTTTATTCATGCATATATGTTAACAAAAGATTCTATCATAATCGTTTTCAATGTTCTGCCTCAGATTTGTGAAGTGATCCGCTGTTCGGCGTCAAGTCTTTAAACCACAATTAACCATTCTCCATCACTCAGGAGCAGAAAGCTGTCGCATTACACAAGACACAGCGTCAGAAGCGTCTCGCCTGGGCTAAAGACAAAAAGGACTGGACTGCTGCTGAGTGGTCCAAAGTTATGTTCTCTGATGAAAGTAAATTTTGCATTTCCTTTGGAAATCAAGGTCCCAGAGTCTGGAGGAAGAGAGGAGAGGAACAGAATCCACGTTGCGTCCCCTGCTGGCCGCTAGAGAGGACGCAGGTTTAAGGCGCCCCCTGCTGGCTGCTAGAGAGGACGCAGGTTTAAGTCGCCCCCTGCTGGCTGCTAGAGAGGACGCAGGTTTAAGTCGCCCCCTGCTGGCTGCTAGAGAGGACGCAGGTTTAAGGCGCCCCCTGCTGGCCGCTAGAGAGGACGCAGGTTTAAGTCGCCCCCTGCTGGCTGCTGGAGAGGACGCAGGTTTAAGTCGCCCCCTGCTGGCTGCTAGAGAGGACGCAGGTTTAAGTCGCCCCCTGCTGGCCGCTAGAGAGGACGCAGGTTTAAGTCGCCCCCTGCTGGCTGCTAGAGAGGACGCAGGTTTAAGGCGCCCCCTGCTGGCCGCTAGAGAGGACGCAGGTTTAAGTCGCCCCCTGCTGGCTGCTAGAGAGGACGCAGGTTTAAGTCGCCCCCTGCTGGCTGCTAGAGAGGACGCAGGTTTAAGGCGCCCCCTGCTGGCTGCTAGAGAGGACGCAGGTTTAAGGCGCCCCCTGCTGGCTGCTAGAGAGGACGCAGGTTTAAGTCGCCCCCTGCTGGCCGCTAGAGAGGACGCAGGTTTAAGTCGCCCCCTGCTGGCCGCTAGAGAGGACGCAGGTTTAAGTCAGTATCAGTGATCGTGCAAATACATATTTAAAAATATTCAAATGTCCGTGTAATTCACAATTACATATTATTAGTGTTAATAGGTTATTACTTGACCACTGAACATTCCAGCATTTTGTGCATTTTCCTTTACAATCAAGCAAGTAGACTCATTTGTTCTACATTTACATCCTTCTATTATCAAATCGCAATATTGTCCACAATAATCGCAATATGACTTTCTCCAAATCATGCAGCCCTACATGGCAACTTCGATATGACAGCGTGTGTGTGGTCAGTCGAAACCAAAAACCCTGATCGGAGAACCATTAATTGATGAATTATTTTTATAAATGTTTTTCCAAATTAGTCCACTTTAATTTTATGTCTATCCACTAATTTATTCAGCTCCACAAATGAACTACCTGAAGACATCAGTGGGTGACTTTAATTGACTTCAAGCTCTGACGCATCTTAAAGGATCCAACAAAGGTTAAAATTAAGGGCAACTGGACTTGGTAGAAGCTACTGGAAGACGTTTCGTCCCTTATCCAAAGGACTTCTTCAGTTCTGACTGACTGGTAGGGAAACTCAGCTATTTAACCTCAGTGGGGTCGTTATCCCAGGTCATCGATACCGCTGGTTCGTTAGTGTTCCTTGTTGCTTTGACGACAGTCGTTAGGTTACGTAACCTATTGGCCTCAGGTGAAGATACCAACGATGGTCGTTGGCCACAGGTAGTCTTAACGACTGTAACAACTGTTGTCACAGCAACAAGGAACACTAACGAACCAGCGGTATCGATGACCTGGGATAACGACCCCACTGAGGTTAAATAGCTGAGTTTCCCTACCAGTCAGTCAGAACTGAAGAAGTCCTTTGGATAAGGGACGAAACGTCTTCCAGTATCTTCTACCAAGTCCAGTTGCCCTTAATTTTAACCTTCGTTGGATAACTATGACCTGGATGACTGAGAATCTTCATAGACATCTTAAAGGATCAGTGTGTGAGATTTAGCGGCATCTAGTGGTGAGGGTCATGAATTGCAACCAGTTATAATTACATAATTCTTCAGTAAAACCTAATGTTATTGTCACTTGGCCACTGACTGTCAACATGGAAAACAGTTACTCACATAATCACTTCCTCTTTAGTGGCTTTGCCTACAAAATAAAAGCACAAGAAGCTTGTTTACCGTAATGCAGTATTGGAGTTGAACTGAGCTTTTACTTTGAAAAATTCTGAACAACATTAAAAGAGTCTGCTTAACACATCTGAAAGAAGAACATAGTGACACAGTAAAGTGTAGATATTTTGTAACAGCAGGTTAAAAGACTTCCAGAGAAAATAAAGGGGAAAAAAAAGGGGAAGTGAGACATTTATATAAGCCTCTGAGTTTCACAGTCAGTCGGTGTCTTTGTCAGCTCTGCTGCAGTTTGATCATTTGAACAAGAAGAAAGTTTAATCAATTAAAAACCTAAGGATGGCAGTTTGGGACAAAAAGGTTCCCTGGGGCTTCCTGTTAATGCTGACTGGTAAGACATGGACTTTGTTACATTAATTTTTCTCAAACGCTACACGTCTTTACTGATATTTTTCCCATCAAACTGATCAAATCCAGAAACAAGATCATGAAGCTCTGAAACTGTTCTTCTGTTTTCTGTTTCAGTGCTGGACGACACTTTAACCGTCTCTCTCTGCATCTTCTAACTCAGCCGCCATCACTACGCTGTTTTGTTCCAGGTGCTGTGGGTCAGAGTGTGAACTATCCAGCTCCTGTTTGTGCTGTGACAGGATCGACCGTCACCCTCCTCTGCACCTTCACACCTCTGAGGTCTGTCGGTCAGGATGGAAGAGAAGTTTCTACAGAGATCATCAGAGTCGTCTGGTGCCGGAACCATCAGCTTTGTCAGGGCTCTACCCCGTCTGTGTTTGACAGCAGTTCAGGAAACAACAACCCTCGTTACAAATACGTGGGAGACAAGAAGGGAAACTGCACTTTACAGATCACAGATGTACGGAAGAAAGACGAGGCAACTCTTCGCTTCAGAATGGCTGCTAATGACAGCAGAGCACATTTTACTGGACAACCAGGAGTGAACGTCACAGTCTCTGGTAAGAGCATCACATGATAAAAAACATCAGCAGTGAATATTAATAATCATTTATATTCTGTTCAAACTTTATGTAGCGCTGAGTCAGAAACAGCCTGTTCATATTCACACAGTTACAAACAATCACAGCTAAAAGCTGCTCAGAGCAAAAAAACCACAGGATCTACTGTCGGTTAAACGCCTCTCACCTCAGAGGCTGGAATGAGCGGCGAGCGCTGCTGGTTCAGACCTGCTTTACAGCAAAAATATAAACAAGATAAAAACTAAAGACTAGAAATAATTCAAAGGAAACATTAAAAATTACAACAGGTATGCAGCAGATACAACTTATCACGAGAACAGATACTTTCGCTACCAAAATTGTGAAAACGTGTCAGTACTCGTTCTGCTAGGTAGTGACGGACACGTGGAAGAGCTGCACCTCGACTCGTCCAATAGAAAAGAGTTCTGTATGGAAACCGGAGTGAAGTTAGTTTCACGGCTGCTTCCTTCAACAGCTCTGTGTCTAAGCCTCAATTTCTCCCAGTCAGAGAGCGGATTCAGGCAGACGTTTCAAGGTTTGATCACCTAAAAAAATCACCAAAGATAACGATGCAGTTTGCAGCTCTAATAACTGAACGTCTGTCCAACGCGCCTGTTCCTGTAGGAGGACTTAGGGACCGTCTGAAAGGTGACATATGATCCATTTCAAATCATCAATAAATGTTATTTTTATTCCATATAAAATCTCAGACAACTGCCAGTATTAGAGACCACCCTTAAACATTTCACACCTGAGAGATGGTAAAGAAAAGTTAAGAAACTAAGTAATTAATTTAATAATTAAATATGCCCAGTGCAAAGCTCATTTATGACTATATTGACATCGATCCACCTCTCATCTGTGCTGGACTTCCTCTCACAGCTTTCACAGCTGTTGTTTGTTCAAATGTTTTTATTAAAGGAGTAAAGTAGATGGGATTTATTGTTTTGGTCTTATTTTGACTGGTATCTGTATCGACTTCTAAATTTCAGGTATCGTGACATCGCTTCTGTTTTTAGCGGCACGGCTCTGCGACGGCAGTGACGGTCAGTCGGTCCACCGTGTTGGCCAGTATTAATAACAACATCGCTACTACCCTCCTCTCTCTTCAAGCTATGCGTCTTCTTGGACAGTGTCTCCCGCCCGCTCCATGACGTGCTGACTTGACTCGTCCCTCCAACATCCACCACAGAGCGCCGCAGGAAGTCATTCCTGCTCATGGCCATCAAGCTCTTTAACTCCTCCCTCAGAGCGTTAAACATTCAAACTCTTGGTCATTAACAGGACCTTGTAGTGCAATACTCGACGTAATGTGTAATATTCTTAATACGTTTTAAAACGTTCCACCAATACTGATTATCAATATTCACTCATTACTCTTCTGTCATATACTGAAAAATACTCTACATATTTATAGTTTTAATTTGTATACTTTCTTTATATTTCCTACTGACCAACTTTCTATAATTGGTGTTTCTGATTCTAATTCTGACAACTGCTCCGTATTTGTATAGCACCTTTCTACTCACTCAAAGCACCAGGGATTGAACCACCGACCTCCCGATTAACGTCGCCCCTGCAACTACTGCTACTAAGATGGTTAAAGTGCTGTCAAAACAAAAGGCTGACGATCATTTTCATTATTGATTAATCTGCTGGTTATTTTCTCAATAATATCAGAAAATCGTAAAAAAAACGGTTCAAACTGACGTCTAATCATCTTTTGTTTCGTCCGACCAGCAAACAAAACCCAAAGATGTTCAGTTTACTGTCAGAGAAGACAACGAAACGCAGCAAATCTGCACATTCAAGTGCTTAAAAAACAAATTATAATAAATCCTTTATCAAAACTATTTCAAACTAATTGATTCAGCTCTACAAATAAACTAACTGAAGACATCAGTGAGTGACTTCAAATGACTTCAAGCTCTCACACGTCTTAAACATCACATCACTCACACCGATGTGCTGAATGTGAGTAAAGAACTTTTACAATAAAAATGTATTTTAAACTCATTCAGATGTTCAGATGCAGATAAAGAGCTCCAGAGGAGACGGAGAGCTGAGAAGAGGTGAAACCGTCACTCTGTACTGCACTGCACTCTGTACCTTCCACCAACTGGAGGTCACCTGGTACAGAGATGGCCACGCCCTCTCAGAGCCTGGCCCCGCCCTCCAGCTCGGTCCCCTGACCACAGAGGATTCTGGGAACTACACCTGTGGTTTGAAGACCAGCAGCAGCAGCCTCTCCCTGCCGTACAGCCTGAAGGTGGAGGAAGGTTTGTTTGCCCAGTTTTTATCTGGTGAAATGTAAATATACTGTTAACTTAAAGCAACGTTACGTCAGATGGAGTTTTTGTGTCATCTGAGTGTGATTGTTTCCTGCTAAACGATGTCACCCGTCAGCAAACTCACTTCCTTGCTTAGAAGACGTATCACAAATGAGCAAAGTCTCAACCGGACCGTGAAGACCAGGATCCGGAGCATCTTCAAAGCAGGGAAGCTGTTCAGCAGAACGTGCAGCGTTGTGGTCTAACATAAAGGAAATCATCTACTGAAGAACAGTGTGGGAAGTGGAGAGTGGCAGAAACACACGGAGGACGTCAGGCGAGACCCTGAGCTGCTGCATCCCGCTCAGCTGCAGGACAGAATCAGCTGGTTTAAATATGCAGGGTCAGGGTCAGGCCGCTAAGTCCAGGAGGGACCGATTTAATGATTCAACTACAATTCTAAAAATAAAAATATAAGTTTTCACTTAATCCCACAATTTCATCACAAAGAACGCCAAAAGACATCAACTTTTTTTTAGAAAAGCTGCAGCAAAATCACAGAAAAGGCCTGCGAGATCCTGGAGGGACGGATTACTCAGCCTCAGCTCGGCTTTTCAGCTCTTTTAGCTCACGAGTTAAAGCCAGTCTGATCTTTACTCTTCTTTCAAAGAGCTCACATTAGATACTCTGCTGCTTTTTATAGCTTCCTGAAGAGTCGTCTTGGTGCTGAAAAGCATTACGCCGTTGTTGAGAAAGGTTTCCTGCCCGGAACTACAGTGTTACACACCGGGGTATTCATGACGATTCAAAAATATGCTGCTCTTTCCACTTCTATTTTGTTAAGACGTTTCGCACACTTGCTTCACCTTCACCGCAAAATTCTACTGCAGTTTTCTGTGACGTATTTCAACGTATGTCAACGCGGAAGAATAATTTAGAGGTTGAGAACCAGCAGCACATCTTTCTGATTAAAAATTAAGAATATTACGTTGGTTAAGAATAAATAACTAAACTAATAAAATAAATGACTCATCTGCAGAGGGAGAAATCCTTAGCAGCAGCACCAAACAATAATCTCATCCCCTCCCCACACAGCAAAATCACTGCGGTATATCTTCACGCTCCGTCCATGAAGAGTTCGCTGTACGTGAGGAAGAGGTGTTAGTCACAAATACTCTCTCTGCAGGTTTCACCTTTAAGACCTCTTTAAGACCACTATGCATGAAATTTAAGACCTGTATCACAACATCAACAAAAGAAACTCAAAAATGACTTGCAGAGTAAATAAAGGTTTTCAAATTAGGGTTGAGTGATGTCTACTAAATTGTCTTTGGACTTTGTCAACAATGAAACACTGAGATGGATGATGACATTGATAAGCTGTCTAATTAACAAGCTGGCATGCGGTGCGACTGCTGCCGTGACAAAGGATGACGGCTGGAAATATCCAGACAGGTGGGAGATCGACCATCTGGTGACCTGGTGCAGCCAGAACAGTCTGGAGCTCAACGCTCTGAAAATGTGGGCATTTGAACATCTGCAATTATATTACAAATTACACTGGCGGATGATTCAAACTACACATCAGAATTCAGAGGACAGAGTGGGCCTTCCTGATGTTTGATCAGTTCAGACTTTGTTTTAATGTCCTACAGCTTCCTGTCCGTCTGATCTGATTCACAGGATCCAACAGTGGATCAGTTGACCCTCTGCTGATTGTTCGTCTGGTTCTCTTCACTCTGCACTCTGTGCTCATCGTCATAGCGGCATCCGTCATCATCAGAAGGTAACGTTCACCTACAAGAACCATCGCAATCTTTGTGTAAAAACACATTTTAGAATTTCTTTTACTTCAACTCATTATTAAGTGTCTTTAAGTGTTTGTTCTGTAATTGGCCCTTCGTCAAGCCACGCCCCGAATACACAGCTGGCCAATCGCAGCCCAGTATAGGCCTCACTCTAACTGAGGTCCGACACTTTCGTGGCTGCGCTCCATTGACTCTAATGCAAAAACTTTTTCTGGCTGTATTTTTCTAAGATCTGGTCGAACGCTGTTCCTGCTTGTAATAGTTACAGCAGCTACTTTTTCACGTCAGTCTGACAGCCTGAATACAAACTTCAATGCAAAACTCTGCTTCTTTCTGAGATCACTTTTTCCAACAAATTTCACAATATTTGTCCGGGCAGTGCAGACAGTGGAAGCGCCAACAGTTTGTCGGACTTAGCAACAGTAACTAAGGAGGGCGGGGCTTAATGAAGGGTCAATTGTAAAACCATACTATACTTAAAAAAAAGTTATTACATTTTTGATTAAAGTCAGAGTAAATATCTCAGATTTAATTTTTACATCATCTTTACAGGACGGGTTTGCAGGAAAGCAGCAGCAGAGAGCTGATAGATGCAACAGTGCAGGTGAGTCACTGACACACCAGAAATTTTATGTTTTTAACACTTCATATTAAACACTGAAGCCTCGGAACGCTTCACACACAGTGTTGAGAACACCGATGGCACCGATACGACGATGAAAAGCGCTGAGCACCAAAGCACACAGCAGGAAACAGGACGGCGGTCCGTTATTTATTCAGCAAAGCAAGAAATCCCAACATTAAAGCTCAGGTTACAACAACACAGTTATAAACCGCTCTCTGCCCAGACAACAAGCCTCTTACTTGATCATCGCTCTTGTCAGTCCGTTTGTGTAATCCAGCAGAGTCTCAGGCTCAGATCCTGATGGGCACGGCGCCGTCGCCGGGTTCAACAGCACAGCTGATCCTCGGAGCAGCTGAGGAAACAGCCAGATGTTAAAATGACAAACGTCAGAGCAGAATTATTGTCGTTGATTAATGTTAAATCTGATCACAAAAGTAAACGTGTGTGTTGTTGGTTTGTGAGTCTGATCTGGACCTAAGAGGCTCCACTCTGGAACACCAGCCAGAGGGTTTCTGTAGTTCAATAAGTTCAGCTGATCAGTGTAATATCTGTGACTCAGGACCTTCAGGATCTGGATCGAGTAGCGTCTGATTTAGTGTCTACAGCTGTTTTTCTTCACGTGTCAGACACATATTTAATCAACATATATGAAAATACAAAAATCCAAGCATGAATTGTGCAACAAGAATAAAGTTTATTGTTATTAATATTATTTAAGACAGAGAAGTTCAGAGAGTGAGCCCCATGGTCTTTCCTGTGGCGCCCCCCTCAGGACAAACTCTGAATCACAGCTCCACTCCTGCTGAGCCTCCTCAGAGTGACCTCAGTGAGGCTGTGACTCTGCAGCAGGACTTCATGGTAACTCAGGCTGACCTGAGAGCTTTCTACAGTCTGACCGCTGCTCTTCATCAGCCGCTCGTCTTCCTCTCTTCATCTCATCTGAACTGTTTGAACTCTGCTTTCTGTTTCAGCCTCCAGACTCTGACGAGGGGCTGTGACGTCCAGACGGCCGAGGCCAGACTGTCTGACACCCTCACACCATCATGTCGGTCCCTGTTTTACAGCAGGAATGACTTTTTAAATGTTCAGTGTATTTATGTGAATGCAGCTGACCTCCATTGTTTACCTGTTTTGGCAGTTTTAGTTAACAGTTTCTGGTCTTCTGGTGCAGTGTGTAAGATTTGGCCAAAATTTTTGAATACATTTAAAAAAACATGATCAAAATAAAATGGAGGGGTGCTAGTGAGCGACAGAAGAGTGAGACGCACCTTCAGATAGCTCGTCGTCTATCCTGTCAATATCTTACAGAAACACAACAGTAAGTGAGTCTGTTTACTCCTGGAAGAGTCTTATCAGTAGTCTCAAGAGTATCTGAAACTTACATAACGGTAAAACCAAAAACAATACATTTAATATATAATAATTACTCTTACTCCATAATTAGCCAATAATTTCGATAATTATCAACGCAGACCACCACATATTGATTTTCCAAATTTTTACTAGCCTGTGTATTTAAAATCATTTTTTCATTAAGAAGCTGTATTGAGGAGCATATATTTGTGCAGCACCTCTTGGCACCGGTGCGCTCCCCCCACAAACCTGTCCAACGTTAGAATAACCCCCCCCGTCATTTTGTGGGAAACACTGGAAAGTAATATAGTAACGTAACTAGTTACTTTTATCACCCAGTAATAAGTAAAGTAATATTACTTTTTTAAGGAGTGATAAGTAACTAGTAATATATTCGGACACGCCCGAATGAGAGGCAACAGAAACTGATGACAAAAGTGTCGGCAAGCCCTCGAACAAGACAGCGCTGGCTGCTATTGCTAAGTGCGGGGGTAAACTCAATAAAATCCAATGTCTGCCAGCATAGAGAGATGCATAACGGAAGTATCGTCGGCCATCAGAGATCTCATCCCTGAATCAAAACGTTAAAAAAAATCAAAAGGGCCATAGCTTCACTGACAAATAATAAGGTCCCAATGGCCTTCTGTGGCGCTATACAAAAAATCTACATAAGATATTCACCCACGCCGTTGGAGTCCTGCCCCTACTTTAACTGAAGAAGTTATTACAGTATTATATAAAAAGGGTAAGGACACAGAAGAAATTGGCTCTGATCGCCCCATCTCTCAATTAAACCAGGACAGAAAGCTGTTTTCCAAAGTCCTTGCTAACAGATTGAATCCCCTTTTACATAAATTGATAAATCCAGATCAGACTGGGATTATCCCAAATAGAAACTCTTCTTTAACCTTAGACGACGACTTATTATATACTCGACTGATCGATCAAACAAAGAACTCGCCATTTTGTCTCTATATGCAGAAAAGGCATTTGACTGTTTTAAAATTTAAAAAGGTTCAACTTTGGGAAAATATTCATCTCAGTGGTCAAACTCCTTTATACCAATCCAACTGCACGAATCCTCATCTCCCCATTTTAATCTGCACAGAGGAACAAGGATAGGTGCCCCCTATCACCTTTAATTTTTGCTCTTGCGATCGAACCTCTCACCAAGAGTATCTGAACAGACCCCCTGATTCAGGGTTACTTTACAGAAAATGACATTCGTAAGATATCACTATATGCGGACGATGTTCTGTTTTATATCACTCAGCCACAAATGACTATTCAACGAATATTTGATAAACTTAACTCCTTTTGAACTTTCTCTGGATGCAGGATAAACTGGGGCAAAAGTGTGCAAATGCCCATGGAAGTACAGAACATGTCCTGGCTATTGAATGTCCCCTTTCTCTTGGGAAATTTACATATTTAGGAATCCAGAATACAAAATACCACTCCTCTCTATTCAAAGAAAATTACAGAGTAAACACAGACTGCCAGGAAGTAACTTCTTTGGATTCTTGCAAGTAAGACACTACAGTGTTTCCCACACATAGGCTTTACTTTGGCGGGACGCCCAGGTAGATTAACAGCCGCCCAAGTAAATTTGCAGACCCATTTTGAAATCGTTTTTGATTGCAGCACTTCGCAGCGCATATTCGCTCGGCACGTCCTCTCGCTCGCTCTCTCTCTCTCGCAAACACGGAAAACAGACCCGTCTATGAATTGAATGGTTGGTATCACCGCGTGAGCTTAGAACAATGATCAGGCCTTGCTTCCACAAGGTCTAGTGATGTTTTGCAGTGCAGGTGTTGTGCCGAATTCTGAATGCCTGCTGTGAATTGCATACACAGCGTGGGAGGTAACGCTCTTTTATGCTGAGAAAACAGGTGGATGCAAATATCGGCAGGTAGCCTACAACATCTGTTTTGCCAAATTATGCATTCACTTATTAAGGTTCTTTTAGGACACCGCTGGTCACATTGTTTGAACGCGGTTAACGTAACATGTTTTTGCTGAGTCTCAAGAAATGGTACTTTTACTAAGTGTAATAATATATTAACGATTCTTAACATTCATAAAATATATACTGATCATTTATCACTATTGATGAACCCCACAAAGAATAGTATAGCATTTAAAAGCAGAACTTTAATGCATTTTAATACAATTCTCGGCAGGCATGCAAAATTCGACACCCGTGACAGTCGACTGCCCCCACCACAGTTACGCTGTCCATCTGTGGGAAACACTGGTCTATGTGAGAAAACATCTAAATAATTTTGAGACTTTGAGGCTCCAGTCTTGATAGTTATCTCGAGCTTTCACCTTGCTCTGAAAAATGTATATCTCGCATATATGACATCCTACAATCCATCAACCCAGCTGTTTCCACTCCAATAAAAAGTAAGTGGGAAGAAGAAATGGGCATTGGTATATCAGACATCCAATGGAAGGAAGGTTTGGAGAACATCCATCGTTGCTCTAACAATGCACTTTGCTCCATGTCCTCATGTCCAAACCTACTGGACAAATATTTTCAGATTACTATCTAGAATGCTGCATTTAGAGCTGAAACCCGAAGTACACGCTATTATCTTGGGAGAATACGACGATACTTTGAAATAGTATAGTAATACTCAGCAATGTTTTCTATCCTACAGCCTCATTTCTGCAAAGAAAACTGCTTCTTAGACATTGAAAAAGAAAAGAAGTCCCCACTACAAAGATGTGGCTTAGTGACCTCACAAATGTAAGAGTAAATGCGCCGTACTTGTATAGCGCCTTTCTAGTCTTTTTGACCACTCATTCACACTCATTCATACGCTGGCAGAACAGCCGCCAGGGGCAATTCGGCGATCAGTATCTTGCCCAAGGACACTTCGACACACAACCAGGGAGCCAGGGATTGAGCCGCCGACCTTCCGAATAACAGCCAACCCGCTCTACCTCCTGACCCACCGCCGCCCCAAGCACACTACACTTAGAAAGAATAAGATATACTCTTATGGACAAACTTCCTCACATGATGTGGACACCTCTAACTCTTTATCTTGAACACGTGACCCAAGAGTAATATTTTCCCTCTGACATCAGCTGAGTAGCGAGCGATAGGGTGGTTGGGGTAGGGTGGGATCGATTTTCATAAAATTTTTTCCTGTATTTTGTTTTTATTCTATTTAATGTGTTAATGTCCCAACCTGATTTATACAAGTTCATTACAACTAAAGAAGAAAAAAAAGGAGCTTTATGTTGTGACCATCTACTGTACGTCCATTTGGCTGTATAAACAGATCTGTACGGTTGTATTTGTATAAATGCCATGTGCTCAAATAAAACATACATGGGGGGGAAAAATAGAATGTGAAGTAGTAACAGTTGTGTGTGTTGCAGAGATATCTACTGAAGTTAGCATGCTGCAGCTAGTCACGGCCTGTCCTGTAATACCACTTGATAGTCTGATACGGCTCAGGCCTCCCCCGTAGTTTCAGCTGAGAGATGTGTGCGAGCGGTGAGTTTGCTACGTTAAAGAAGCTCTGAGCTTTTTTAGTCTAAAAAAATAAACTAAATAAACTCACAAAGAAAATATTCTTACACGTGTTTTCATTATCAATGCAACCTTGCACTTCCTGAATTCACTGAACTAATCGCCTCGTTAACTCGTCGTAAAACACACTTCCTTCAAACTCCACAGAAACTAAATAAAACCGTCTTGGTTAGTTGTTCCTCTGTTCCAACAGTCACCAGCTCTTGTTGGGTGGAAATAAAGTGAGTTAGATGTGAAAATATTCTGACTCATGGACAAAGTGAACATACTCAGAGTTGAACTGACTCCGATCAGCTGTTCTGAAACTGAAAACTCATCTCAGGTTCTTGAGCTCGGAGTTCAGGGTTAGTCAGAGTTCAGTTAACCTGCTTTCTGGAACCGATCCCTGACGCACGAGCTTTAGGACAGAAACAAACCCAATCATTATCAATACTGGGCGATCATTTATTCAGTATGAGAAGCCTAAAAACTATATTTACCTGTGTCTCATTTTAAAAACTACAGAGCACTTCGTCCTTTAAGCCTTTTGGTTTAACTCACGCACATTTCTAAGAGACTTTCTGAACTCTCTACCTCTGGAAACAAACAACTGCACAACATACAGCATCTTTAAAACTACAGCTGTGTCTCAATCCTTCAAAGGTTGTATTTGTCACAGTCGGTGCGACTAGGCTGTCCAATTCTGAAGGCTCCTTCAAATGCGGCCTTCTTTTCCTCCGTTTGGAGGATCCAACGGCTGGATCCTTCGCAGCCCAAGGTATCCCAAGATTCATTACACGCCGGTTATTTTCCCAGCGTATACTACGGCGTAAGCTGTGGAGTTGAGCCCATTCGGATTTTACCTATAAACGTAAGTATTGGATTTCAACTCACTCCAAAAGCCACCTACACAAATGTTAAAAAAAACGAGATGCATAAAATCGCATTATGTTGTTTAAAGAATAGGATTGTGGAATTAGTTAAATGCAACTCGGCTGGGCGCAAGTTACAACCTCAAAAATAAAGCCTTTATCGTCTTCGCGCTGTGCGTAGGCCAGGTGGCCGAGATAAACGTCAACACGTTTTGTGCGCGGTGGCTTCTGGGACGAACCATATGGAAGTTCAACTTCCGTCACGTCTCTCTGCAGGCTGCAGCTGGACTCTTCTCGTGGGTTCGGCATTTTGCGGCCGTATGGCTTCGTAGGGTGCGAAGGCCACGCCCTTTGAAGGATGCGGACCCTGGACTGAGTCACTGCTGGAGTCTACGCAGAAGTAAATCGTGGTTGCAAAATTCCTTTTGAAAAAGTCATTGGATCTACACGAATCACATAAATGGCCTATTTTGGATGGGAGGAGAGCGAACAGCTGGAATCTAAGTTTATGTTCTGCTTGCTCAACATTTGTTTGCTAAATTAATATTAAACACATCCAGAGAGGATTTGAAATGCTATTTGTCCACTTATTATTTTGGTGCTGATGATTTTAATTTGGCACTTGCTAAAACCTCTTTAGGTGGGGGTTGTCAAAAATTCCTCTTTGTTAGAAGAGGGGTTTTCCATTGGTATTTGAATTTTCTTAGGCATTTACTTTGTTGTATTGTATCGCATTTTATTGTGAAGCACTTTGCGATTTTTATCTGTGAAAAGGTCCTGTACAAATTAGTGTTGTTTCTTTCAAAGAATGTTTCGTTCATATGACCTAATTGTGTGTATGACTCG